CTATCTATCTATCTATCATCTATCTATCTATCTATCTATCTATCTATCTATCTATCTATCTATCTCTATCATCATTTTTTCTTTCTATCTATCTATCTATCTATCTTTCATTCTATCATAATTTTTTCTATCTATCATCATTTTTTCTATCTATCTATCTATCTATCTATCTATCTATCTTTCATTCTATCATCATTTTTTCTATCTATCTATCTATCTATCATCATTTTTTCTATCTGTCTATCTATCGTTCATTCTGTCATCATTTTTTCTATCTATCTATCTATCTATCTATCTATCTATGTCTTAATGCATGCAGATCTAGTCTAGTTATATTTCAATATCATAACTGCAGTCAAACTGTACTCAGGAAGCGTCTGTACTGTATTTTGTGAAGGTGGTCATCTCACCGGCGCCGTGTTCAACCCAGCACTGGCGCTCTCAGTACAGTTCCCCTGTCCTGGACACAGTTTTGCGGAGTACAGTTTTGTGTACTGGATTGGACCAATACTGGGTGAGCATTAGATTTACAACATTCACTCTGACCTTTGAAGAATCCTTCAGAGACTGTTCTGTAATCAGTTACTTTTGTTAGGAAAACAAGTGTATCCAGTCAAACAAGTATAACTCAAGGCCAATCAATAAAATGTCTTCAGTGCTGGAGGAAAATCATATTTGCATGGACATGGACATCATGAACAACACAAACTACCGAGCAGAATGTTTGAGAATCACAATGTATTTCTAAATGTTCATGTACTAGCAAACCAAACCGCTGACCTTAAATATAGCACGTGTGCATGATAATTCATAGTGTTTGTTAATAACAGCAATAAATATACAGTTCTAAGTGTTGCACCAGTATCTTCATGCTGTTTTTGCCACTTATCTTACAGGTATGACAGGCTCTCTGCTGCTTTTTGACAAAGTGATCCCTGCTATTTCAGGAAAACGCACAATTCCAAAGCACCTGAACTCTAACGGACTCAAGACGAAAAAGATGAAGTGACAGAGAGACTGACTTCTCGTGCATAAGTGCTTATATACTGTGAATATACAGCTCATCGCCAAGTAATAACCAGGGTTTCTGCAGGTTTTAAAAGGTCTTAATTCACCCTTCTTAAGGCCTAAAAAGGTCTTAAATCAGAGCAGAAAGTCTTAAATTCAAACGTCATGGTATTAAATGATGCATGCACTGTAAAAAATGAACATCTTCCTCAGTATTTTGTCAGTATGTCTAATACAAATATCTAAACATCTTTAAATCAAGATACATTTACTTGAGATGCAAACTAGACATATGAAGTCTTGTTTTCTGAGAAATGGAACAAAATTAAGTGAGTTTATGGTTAAATCAAGAACAAACGTCTGTCAATGGGGAATCAAAACTTAACTTAAGGCGATTTTTCTAAGCCTACTAGCAGATATGCAGATTAGCAGATTATTGTTTTAATAAATTCACTTCATTTTGATCAATTTCTCATAAAACAAGACTTATTTGGTCATTTTGCTTCTCAAGATAATGTCTCGATTTGAAAATCTTTAGACATTTGCATTTAGAGACCATATTTACATAGTATTCATTAAATGTTCTTGGTCTTTAAATGTCTTAAATTTACCTTCACTAAACCTGCAAAAAAGCCTGAATAATGAAACTGATGGGACCTTAATGTTTTTCTTTTTTTAGAAGGGTTTTGGTGAAATCTATGCTTTCAAAATATTTTAAATGTCTTTTTAATAACATACATATTCATGAAGCACAGTGAGTCTGTAATGGCATATAGCTGCAGATTTACAGCAACATTCATAAAAAGCACATGACCTGTGTCGAGAATCAACTGTAAATGAGTTACAATATTTATGTGTTAAATCATATTTTAACAAACGGACATTCCTGGAATAAGTTGTCTCGATTTGAAAATCTTTAGACATTTGCATTTAGAGACCATATTTACATAGTATTCATTAAATGTTCTTGGTCTTTAAATGTCTTAAATTTACCTTCACTAAACCTGCAAAAAAAAGTCTGAATAATGAAACTGATGGGACCTTAATGTTTTTCTTTTTTTAGAAGGGTTTTGGTGAAATCTATGCTTTCAAAATATTTTAAATGTCTTTTTAATAACATACATATTCATGAAGCACAGTGAGTCTGTAATGGCATATAGCTGCAGATTTACAGCAACATTCATAAAAAGCACATGACCTGTGTCGAGAATCAACTGTAAATGAGTTACAATATTTATGTGTTAAATCATATTTTAACAAACGGACATTCCTGGAATAAGTGTTCTATGGTTGTTAGAATACTTTTTTGTGTTACATTCTACTAGCGATGATTCTTGCCTAGTAACAGGTCAATGTTACTGTAGTACTAGTAATCTTAAACACAGTTTTGCAGTGCCTTTGGATTATCCTGGGTAAAATAACCCGGGTCGACCAGACCGGATTGAGTGCCGCATCTACAAGCAACTGCAGAATGTGTGAAATGAGATCACAACACATTCCTGTGTTATGAGGAATTAAATAAAGCAGTGCTAAAATCTGTTTGTAATTAAACTTTACATAAAAACACATGGCTCAGTGGTTATTTAACCTGAGAGGTCAAACAGGCTGTTGTGAAATGGTTTCTGATTGACCTTTGACCCTCTGTGAACTCCCAGATGTGCTGAACGAACCTGATAAGGCATTTTGTTTTTCACTACAGCGTGCAACAAAAGACAGGCAAAACAGAACAAATGAAAGTGAAAAATCGTGAGATGTTGCTTACATAACCGAGCGTTCACACATGAATGCGAATTGTTGACTTGATGGGCTTTGACGTGCTGTCAAATTCCTGGTTTAAAGGAATAGTTCACCCAAAAATGAAAATTTGCTGAAAATGTACTGGATCGTGGTGGTCGATAGCGTGAGCGTCTCAGATCTGTCTCAGGGAAAACGCTACCACACACTGCAGATAAACCCGCATCCGCGATTCTCACTGGACAACAACGACTACGACCTGTGTCTGCTGCGCACACAGACAGAGATGGAGATGGGAGGTGAGTTCACGCTTGCACATTTGAATGAAACTAATTATGCAGATATAGCTTCTTCATCAGGTTTGGAGAAATGTAGCATTGCATCACTTGCTCTGCAGTGAATGGGTGCCGTAAGAATGAGAGTCCAAACAGCTGATAAAAACCACAATAATCCACACCACTCCAGTCCATCAGTTAACATCTGGAGAAGCCAAAAGTTTTTTAGTAGACATTTTGCACTTGCGCGAGCTGCTCAGACCTGGCCTGTTCAGTGTGTCAGTGTTCACTGCTGTAATCTGTCATTAAGACTAAATCCTACCAGAGACCGAAATAACACAAACTCCAGCACTGCCTGAACACTCACATTCATTCCAGGTGAAGTCACACAATATCTGTCCAAATAATAGAAGGGTTTAAACAGGAGGAAAGATGACTTGAAGTCCACAAATACAGTGACAATCAGCACAAACATCAAAAAAAAGTTTCTAATGGTCAGTCTCATAACATCCAGTGTCAAGGTCACATTTCATGCCTTAACCAAAAAACATAAATTATATAAATTAAAATACCATTCCTTTATTATTATTATTATTATTTTATTATTATAATGCCAATTATTCATGATGTTACCATAATGCATCTGGATTTTTGAACTCCCATTACTCTCAGTGATGATTTTTTTTAAAAAACAATATTGTTTACAATGTGTTGCATAATGCAGTTTTAAAAAGATATTAAAAAATACTGTATAAAACAGTATAACAAATCCTGCCATGATGAATACTTTTAGTAATTTTTTTTTTTTAAAGTTTTAGTTATAGTTGAAATTAGAAAAAAAAATGTTTTTATTTTAGTTCATGTTTATTTTATATATCAAGTAAAGCATTTTTGATGGTTTTAGTTAACGGTAATAACCCTGTTATAAACAATAAAAAAAAAATGTGTATATATATATATATTCTTCTCATATCTTTCTTTGATTTTCTTGACAGATTGTGTGAGAAGGACTGCTGAATGAATTCACTGAGAAAATATTTGATCTCCTGTGAGGAAATACACAAGAAATGATTAGACGAGGATGTCTCATAAACATCTGACTAAATACAAACAGAACGACCCAAAATGAGCTGCATGAGTATTTTTAGCACACTTCAACAAACCGCCTGATTGAGGATATTTCAAAGAGGGAAAAAAAACACCAAATATGGAAGAAAAAAATGAGGCTTTGGTACAAAAACAGCTGTATTTATTGAAATCTCTAACAAACTCATCAACATCACTGAGGAGGAACATTCTGGAACTTGGTCTTCAGGGAAAACTACAAAACACATTAGTGGGAGCTACACATGGTCGTGACAGCCGCGGTGTAAAACAGCCCATTCAATTCAAGCAAGGAAAGACTGATATCCCAGCATGCCCCACTGAAGTGCTTCAATCAGCCGTACAGAAACGCAGTTCATCTGTGAACACATTGAGGGATTCAGAGTCACACAGGAGCTTCAACACGGATCCTCACAACAGCAGCAATACAGTCATTATTCTGATGAGAATCATACACGTTTGGAACGACACAAAGGTGTATATGATGAGAATTTACATTTTTCCAGTCAATTATTTCTTGAAGTGTGCGAGTATGCGAGTTCTGACAGTGTCAGCTTTCATCACTTCCTGTCCAGAACCAGTGTTGTTTTTGTCAATTAAAAATGGTATTCAGTAACTGAAATAAAGATGAAATAAAATATAAATATTCGATGAAAAATTCAAACTTGAAAATCTTAAACTCTGAAAATTTGAAACGTTGCCTTGGCAACTATATGAAATAAGTTTAAGCTGAAGTACTAAAATTACCAAAAACTACCATCTGAAATAAAAAATAAAGCTATATAGAATGAAAACTTTAAGAAAATAATGGTAATATTTAAAAAATAAATAAATATTTCAACAAAAACGAATAAAAATGACAAAAGCAAAAAATTCCTAAAACTGCAACTGAAATAAAAATAAATCTAAATAGAAATATTTTTTAAAAATTGAAATATAAAAAAAAACTAACATAAACATTTAAATAAAAACGAATAAAAATGGAAAAAGCACAAAATTATTAAAACTGCAACTGAAATAAAAAGAAATCTAAATAAAAATGTAAAAAAAAAAAACAGAAATATTGAAAACTAATAAAAAGTTGAACATATCGCACACCCCTTATATATATATATATATATATATATATATAGATATATATATATAGATAAATAAATTACAAAAGCACATAAAAAAAAAAGTAAGTAAATGAAATAAGAGCCAATTCAAAATATGAATACATTTTATAATAGTATATAAATAACACTGGGCAGGACAGGAGATGGAATTGGTCAAATGAGATTTTGAAGACACAGTTGTATAGTTACCAGTGATCCACATCGGCGTCCTCAAACTGTCCAGTGACTGTGCTTGAGTCGACTTCCATTCCATCTGAACTCAGACAAAAAAAATAAAAGTTTAATCACTATTAAATTACGACCGTCCTGCCCTGTGCTGCTCCTCTGGGCTTTACCCATTCCAGATCCATTAGCACTCAGGAAATCCTGCTCATTAGACACACAGCCTTCTGAGTCTCACACAACACTCATCCTCCACGGACTGAAATCAACTCACATTCACACAGACACCGAACCAAACATTCATGCACTCTGTCAAAAACACGACTCTTTTAGCATCATGTGGGGTTTAATAGAGCACGACTTTTCTCTGTTACTGCCATTTAGTGGCTGCTCGTGTGCATTCTCATTTTTTTTTTATTTCTACATTTTTAAATCAAGTAAATTCATCTGGGATGTCCATAAAACAGTGGAAAAAGCTGTCAACACTTTGTTTTATTTCTGTTTTGATGACAGTGACCAAGTTACCAAAGATTTATAGCAATAATTATACAATTTTATAGCAATAATATGTGACAATAAAATCTAATTTTATATTTTAAATATTATATAATGTTTTATATATATTTTGGTAACACTTTGGTAACATTTCAATAATGTTTCATTTGTTAAAATTAATTAATTACATTATTATTAACACAAAATAACAATGAACAATACTTCTACAGTATTTAATAATCTTTATTAATGTTACTTTCAGCACGGCAACAGTGTAAAAGTAGCCCGGAGTCAGACGCACCTCTCCCGCAGCGTCTGCACTTCACATGCGTATGTTCGCGGGCGCCAATTAACAATCACAAACGGCTGCATTCCAGTCTTCAAGGCATTTTAGGACACAACATCGTCAAGTAAGTAACTTTAACGAATGTTACAGTATTCACTGTAGTTGTCCGCTAGTAAAAACATAGTTGTATCAGTCATTATCCGTGTATGCCATTGGAGGCGGGACTAATTTGCATATTCATAGATCCGCGTATAGTAAATGAGGCAAGGGTGTAGAGTTACATTCAAGCTATTTTAAGGCATGAGAAAATTATTTTCACAAGAAAAAACATTTAAATATGTAATTTTGATGATCAAAGATAAGTTTTAAGGGATAAAATATTTGACTACAGGGGGACTTTAACAACAGATTTTTAAAATCAAGGGTTGTATTTGTTAACATTACTTAATGCACAGAGAACTAACATGAACAACTGTATTTTTCATTAACTAACTTTAACAAAGATTAATAAATGCAGTAAAAAATGCATATTGTTAGCTAATGCATTAATGAATGTTAACAAATGTGACCTTATTGTGAAGTGTTATCTATATTTTAATATTATAATAATATGGGAAACTATAGTTACAATATTGTGGGGTAGTACACAAAACTAAACTGCCCTCTCAAGGACAGACAGATCACCACTACTGAAATAAACCAGTAATCAATAATGAATTTGAACACACACCGACCTTCAAATTCAGCCGATGGCTCGTCGCTTCTGACTCCAGCCATGTGGTGCTGCTGTGTGACAGACTGGGCCAGCAGCCCCTCCAGCCGGTCCAGTGTGGCCTGACCCTCGGCCGTCAGGTGAGACAAACCCTCCTCATAGGTGTAAAACGTGGGGACGTCGCCCTGACCCTGACCCTGACCCTGCTCTTGCTCTGAGAGAAAAGAGGAACGGTACAAAAGCACTGAAATAATATGAGAGAAGACACCAAGCCTCAGTACTCTGAGATGATTGACATTAATATCATTGTCCACTCAAAAGTGGAGAGACACCGGATCAGTGGTTCTCAACCAGGGGCCTCAGGAGACTTCAAAGGATGGCTTTAAAATGACTTCAAATAGGACAAAACCAGCTTTAGAATAAAATAAAACCAGCTAAAAATCCAGATGTAAGCTAAGCTAGCTTTAATTTGCAACCGAAATAATTATTTTAATTTTTTGATTTAAAAAAAGGTTCTCATCATCTTTGAAAGTTATATATTTCTAGTTATGTCATGCTCTAAAACATTTTATGTAGAAACAAGCTGAGAAATTTCCATTCGAGAGTAAAAAAATATTTGAAAAACGGCTAGAAACATGCAAATTAATGACTCATAAAAAGTATAAACTCTGAAAAACAGAAACATTATTTATTTAATTATTTATAGAGAATTGAATTACTTTCATTTGAATTACTTAAAAGTAGTTTACTTCATTATTCTAGAATTGCAGAATGTAGTGATTTTAATTGTAATTACTTACAAATAGTTCATTTCATTATTTTAAGAAATTAAATTAGTTTAATTTTATTATTTAAAAGTAGTTTATTTTATTATTTTAGAATTACGGAATTTAGTGATTTGAAGTGGTTTCTTTCATTATTTTAAAAAGTTTATTTTATTCTTTTAAGAATTACAAACTTCAATTATTCTAATTCTAATTACTTATAAGTGGTTTATTTCCTTATTTTAATATATTGCCATTCCTGGTTTGTGTAAATAAAAAGCTTTTTTTTTTCTTTTTTTTTTTTTACAGCTTTAGTACCAGAAATGTCTTGGCCTGTATGAGGGGCCTTTGAACATTGTCTTGGACTCTGGGGGACCTTGGAGTCCAAAAGGCTGAGCTGAGAACGCTTGCACTAGATGCATTATGGATCCAAATGACACTCACCAGCCTCCTCGACGTCATACTCCTCTCCCTCATAATCGTCGTCATCTGTGTCCGCGTCCTCGGGGTGCAGGGCCTGACAGTCACACATGGCGGAGAACATGGGCTCCACTGCGCACACACACACACACACACACACACACACACACACACACACACACACACACACACACACACACA